TTACGCCGCTTTTAGCAGTATTCCAACAATATCACGGGGGGGGCTCACCAGTTATGTCCTTGACACATTGTACTCAAGTTGGAATCAAACCAGAAATCGCTTTAACCACTAGGCTAATCCACCGCCCCAGTAGTAGTAGTTGTATTAGTAGTAGAAGTAGTACTTGTATTAGTAGTAGTAGAAGTAGTTGTTATGGCAGTAGTAGTAGTAACAGTAGCAGTAGCAGCAGCAGCAAAAGTAGAAGTAGTAGTGGTAGCAGTACTAGTCGCAGTAGCAGTAGTAGTAGTAGTAGTAGTAGTAGTAGTAGTAGTAGTAGCAGTAGTAGTAGTAGTAGTAGTAGTAGTAGTAGTAGTAGTAGTAGTAGTAGTAGTAGTAGTAGTAGCAGTAGCAGTAGCAGTAGTAGTAGTAGTAGTAGTAGTAGTAGTAGTAGTAGTAGTAGTAGTGGCAGTAGCAGTAGCAGTAGTAGTAGTAGTAGTAGTAGTAGTAGTCACGGCATTAGAAGCGGCAATTGTTGTAGTCAGATATATACGCTCAGAAAGCCGCGGAAATAACGACTTAGATTACCTTCAATATGTACCTGTAAATTCCTGAATCTGGTAAAGGTTTTTAAATGAGAGATAATTGAACTTAGTTCGTGTAAATATTATCAATGAGCAATTATTAATGATGCCGCATTACATATTGACGGTAGGAATTTAAAAGGTAATTAACAACGATTTTAAGGAAAACAACCGTTATTACGAAGGTATTTTTATAAAACATAAAAAGGCACTGCCTTCAGCTTGATTACTCGAGGCCATTCCGTTTAATTGTTAATTACGGATGCTCTTCGTTAAAGGCAATAGCACTGCACACGAAAAGAGTATGATTAAAACAGCTATTGACAGTCTAAATGCATACATCCAGAGACTTTAGTCATATACTGTATTGATAAATAAACGAGTCTTTCAGCGTCTTGAGACTGGAGCAGTATTGATGAAACATTGTAAGAAGACGCAAACAATTGAGAATTACTATGACAACGATACTGAAGATCGCGCTTATCGACTTTCAAATAGAGCAGATTGTGCAACGAGTGAGATGTTTAAATACGAATTGGCAATAGAATATTCAATATCTCCTATTTATAAATGTGTTTGTCATTTTTTGTATCACCTTTTTACCATGAAAAGGGTGTTCTTTCTGCTATTTAAAGTATATATATTTGTTTTGCACATACAATCGACACTGAAGTTTTGTTTGAAATGAACGACATATTTTTTTTATATTTTGTAAGAGAGTAATAAAAAACTACTGAACAAATACAACGTTTGCACGTTTAGAAATGAAGGCGTTCTCAATTTAGAATTATGTTTGGGTTTGAAACAACTAGAACCTTGGCCCAGATACATGCGCTAGATACAAATAACCTTCAACGCAACGCACATATATGAAATATGAGTCCATGGTACGATTCTGACAATATCAAAAACGGATATTTAAGACTCAGCGTCATCTAGTGATGACACCAGGGGTTCTCAAAATCGGGCGCGTGTCTTCCCCACCCGTCATAAACACATGCAAGGGCAAGTCAGCTGATTAATGAAAAACACGGGAACACGTCGCATAAGCGAAGCAAGGGAATTCCACCAAACAGCAGTTGGGTCAGTGAGTGAGTGAATATGGTTTTATGCCACTGTTTGCAATATTCCAGCAACATAACGACGGGGGACATCAGAAATGGGCTTCACACATTGTACCCATGTGGGGAATCGAACCAGGGTCTTTGGCATGACGAGCGAACGCTTTAACCACCAGGTTACCACACCGCCGCTTTATAGTATGAAACCAGATTACACGTCTAACACGATAACAAGAGGCTCCCTGAAACTAGGAACATGACGTCAGTATCCTCCTGTGTGAGATGAGTGCCGAATGGCATACGTCCAGTCTGTAGATGCCTATTGCAAACCAAACACTCGTTTAAGCTCCACTGCTTCTATGTAACCGCCAACAAAAGCTATTTCACAGAAAATACGGAGAAGGAATAGTTTGTGCGCTTTCTGTTTTTGAGAAGTGACAAATTCAAATTCAAATTTTAGAGTCTTCTTACAGTGTACCATGAAGGGAATTGAAAATGGTATGCGCGGATGATTTGTTTCCTTTTTGCATTCTTTGCAGTTCCACAATAAAATTCTTCTCGTCTGTGGATCAAACGAGGTTGTTTCAAAACACATAAAGATTAATTAAAACTATTTTATGATGAAATATATATAAAAGTCACTTTAATTGAATCCAGGCATGACTAGTCCATATGTACACTACTAATCATACAATTTCACTTTAAAAACCTGTCTCACTTGAATTTTATTTAAAAGGCTCTTACTCCATGATATGGACATACTGTTGTCGGTAAAATCGACAAATTCTATTTGGCCATCTTGTTTACTCATGCAAAGTGAATTCAGCATACGGTTGTCTGGCAACAAGGAAATTTAACACAGTTGAATAGCACGCCATCTTAAATCGTTTTGATACATCCAAGGCGAACAGCTAGGTTGCAATGAACGACACATACAAAAACGTCCGTAGAATATAATGTCGCGCAGGGAGACTCATTTCCCACACAAACTTATTGATAGGTTTTATCCGACTTCAGTGAGAGTAAAGGGACTGTGAGATTGCTAATAGCCACCACTCACTTCATGCCGTAGACCCGGATACATCTCCCAGTATATGTTTACCCAACGTCAGCATGCCTCCACCGTACCGTCGTTAGAAATACAAGGATAGACTGAGTTACCCAGGACCAAAGAGCCACCTGAGTGATAACATCCATAAACAAATGGGACTGTTTTCACAATGTGATAAATATGACTTTGATCTGGGCGGAACTCGTTTTGGAATACAATGTCAACTGGCCATTGTCAGACATTGCAACCACTTTGGTACGCAATCGATTAAATTTGCAGCATAGAGTGCGTATGTATTTATTTATTATATTCATTTAGAAGTTAAAAAATCGTGAACCGAGTAAAACAGTTTGAATATTTTAAACATATTTTAATCTGGTTTATCTGGGTAGAGATAAAACGAGTGTTCCTTGTTTGCTTGTGAACTAAATAATGTAAGTCCGGATATTTTATTCTGGCTTATCTGGACAGATGTAATAGACTGTTCCTTGTTTGCCCCTTAAAGGAGTACTGTGAGCACCATAAATGGCAGGCCTCTGTAAACTGTTTCAATACAAACTACAAGCTTCCACTACGTTGATGCTGTTTCGGCAGAGGCCCTGTCTGATACAAGCTACCTTCTATATGACCCGATTCGTTCAATGAAAGTTTCTGTTCATTTAAGAAATGAGTGAATATTGTTTGGCGCCGCTTAGAATCAGTAGGTATATCACGGCATGTGCACATTCCAGTTTCCGAATTAAGGAATCATAGCTATGAAAACCTTGTAAATTTCATCATTTAGTTTTACGCCACACTCAACAATATCACAGCTATATGGCGGCAGTTTATAAATAATCAAGTCTGGACCAGACACTCCAGTGATCAACATTATGAGCTTAGATCTACTCAATTAGGATACGATGATATGTGTCAACCAAGTCAGTGAGTCTGACCATCAGGTCCCGTTAGTCGCCTCTTACGACAATCATGGGTTACTGAAGATCAATTCTAACCCGGATCGTCTTCTGTCTTATCAGAAGTAATCAGGAGAGGGTTAGGATTAACGGATTAGGATTAACTCGGTGCCACTGCATATACCTGGTAAAACTAAACGTATACATATGCCTTAAGACTCGTAAGACCCGTACACTAGCATATATTAATTTTTTGCACGATATAAATGCACCATCTACGCACGCACGCAGTCCACTTTATTTAAAGTCTTGAACAAACACTCAGTTAGATATAGTTAAGCTATATATGAACACATTGCAATCAGTTTTCCTGTTCACTTAGACAATAATTATACATCACAGGCCAGTCCACAGATTGGACTCTATCGAATTCAAGAGACAGTGTACACAATGCAATCTCTTATTAAATGTTAGGACTTTATCGTCCTGAGTACGTTCGAGTCCACATCAAGGAGATTAATGACGTCATTGCTCAGTTCGCAAAGTACAATCAGTAATGTTATCAGTGAAGGCCATATATTATCATCAAAATGAAAATATATTTGAAAATGACGAATTAAGTGTAAAGTAGAAAATTCCAACTCAGGTTTTTGGAATTGCTAGATGGCTCAACGAAATAATAGAATTCTCACGTGAGCACGGAATAGTGAGAAAAAATATAAAACTGAAAATAAGAAAACTGATGCTATTTTAAATTTTGTCCACCAACGCACTCTATCAAAGCCGATTATGTGACTATGGTATAACTCATATAAATAAAACGTCAACAACTACATGTAGTCTCGATTATCCGGCAAAATATATTAATTTGGACGTAAAAGGCAAAATAGCCGTTATATTTATATGAATACATTTATTTATCAAAATTTTCTTTTTTCTTCAAATTCATCATATTTTACTGTTGCTTTATGATGATCTTACTCCATGAACAAGGTGGAACCATAATTGTTAATGTACGTAATCTAGTTAACCAGACCATTATTCAAAATTCGAATATTAATTAAGGGGAATCTGACCAACTCTTCTCAATTTGGCAAGTTTCATCATATGACTCAAAGTTGTCTCCTACACAATGGAACTAAGAATGTTCTTTACGCAGTAAACACGCGGGAATAACTTCTATCAGAAACTAAGTTCAAACCCGGAAGTAGTAATCATTGTGACACGTTCCTTGTCATTTATCGGTCAAATAAGGTGATATAATATTTGAATATATACTCATGCCAATAATGGTTGTCACCCCCCCTGACCCCACCAACCCCCGACACACCTCACACACACACCCCACACACCCCTCTCCAATTAAAAGAATTGAAGGGGGTGACAACTATTTTTGGCATGAGTATATATGGAGAAATATATTGATACTTACCACAACTAATGAAGACACACAGAAGCCCTAACGCCCCCAGGAAGAATCCAGCCCTTCTCATCTTCGTCACCCTGAGTCGCTCTTGCTGAGAACATTACACAACGTTGTATGTTCACTGATAACGTAAACGCTGTTGCGTTTTGGTGAATCGAATCAAGCTAGGTACATGGTTTTGTGGACAGTAGTTTTAATTATGATGTTCCTAACATATGGATCAGTTGCGATACTGCATCGTCAAGCCTATTATCGTGAGTGGGTGAGTGTTGTTTTACGCCGCAGTGACGTTCCAGAGCCCTGTCAAAACAATGCTTTTAATGTTCTCTTCAGAAGCCGTGAAGGTCAGGGTTAGAATGAGCCTTCAGTAACCCATGCTTGTTGTAAGAGGCGACTAACGGGATCGGGTGGTCAGGCTCGGTGGCTTGGTTGACACATGTCATCGGTTCCCAATTGCGTAGATCGATGCTCATGCTGTCGATCACTGGATTGTCTGGTCCAGACTCGATTATTTACAGACCGCCGCCATATAGCTGGAATATTGCCGAGTGCGGCGTAAAACTAAACTCACTCACTCACTCTCTTCAGCAAATTTATGACATCCATCAGACGGGATATAAAAGGCGGAAATTTGGTCCCACTTAGTAACAAGCCTTTATGACAAGGTGGGTGTGCAGATAAGAACTGATTTTAAGAAACCAGTGATTGTCGTAAGTCACAAATGTAAACATTTGTGCTAGGGCTGATACGGGTCCAAAATTTCTACCCGGGCACGCCACCCCTATTACCCTACCCTACGCGGATACCCGTTACGTTAATTCCTGACATCAAATTTGTAAGAAATGGCAATATATTCTTCAGTTCGGAGGCTAAAATTTCGAGTTTTTCAATATCTTAATCATGTATTATATTCAAAAGCAGTGACTGTAAATTATGTCTTAATCTTCAAAGACAATACAACCTTTTAATCATGAAAGAATAACATATTTCATTGTTTAATCTATTAGTCACATGATCATAATGGGTCTGGGTATTGTGCAGGTACCCGGGTCCAACTCATTACCCACCCGTCCCGGGTATTCGGCTTACCCGTCCCACCCCTAATTCGTACAGTAAGTACGGTTATGACGAACTCAAAGCGATCGCCAGTTTTAGTTCGTTGCCGCTAGACCGTAATTCGTTATAAGCAATTCGACTAAAATATTCAGTAAGTGGCTGGGAAAGAAAAACAGTCAGCTCTATCCATTAGTTAATAATAAGCGTGTTAGCTATGAACGTGTGAGGCAGTTAAGTTTTACGCCGCTTTTAGTAATATTCAAGCAAGATTACAGCGGAGAACACCAGAAATGGGTTTCACACATTGTACCCATGTGGGGAATCGGAACCCGGGCCTTCGGCGTGACGAGCGAAAGGTTTAACCAGTAGGCCATGCCAACGCCCCGCTATAAACGAAGTAACAAAAGACACATAACCATGCTTTTTTTTATTAGGCTCCGACGTCCCTTATAAACCAACAACGCTTAAACAATACGAAAACCTCATCACGAAAGTGTGTCGCCAAAACGGACACTGACGTGTCGCAAGTTGCACAGACAGGGTCAAAGGCCAGCTGATAAATGTTATCAAAATAACCCAGTATGACGCGAGATTGTACGTACATTGTTTTAAGTTGGTTCATCGATGTGTGTAACTTACTCAGCTACCTGGTGCACGTGTAGAAGGCAGGGTGGTTCCAAGTCTGAACACTTGGTCAAATACGATACCATTGAGTGCAAATCTGTCTCCAATATTTGACCTTTGTCATGACTGAGAACATTCTGATTTGTTCGTGTAACATCACTTCGCAAAGACGGAACTTCTTTCATCATTGACTTTCCTGGATGGACAATTTGACGAAAAACCGGAGTGCCCAGCGGGATTCGAACCCACGCAGGTTCTTGGATTTAATGTTCTGACTTTTAATTCTGTTAATTAACAACTGAATATTACTGACATCGCGATTAATGATATGGGAATAATAGTGATATATTTCAGTATGCTGGTCCACACACGAGACGCACGAATAATATTATATGGTAAATTACGTTAAATATGTTTTCTTTATCAAGGGTTTGATTACGCATAATATTTCTGTCAACATGTGTGCAGGTAATTTTCAGGTGCATTGACAGTCTTCGAGTCAATCCTGTATAAAATGTCATAACCAGTCGCAAACGTAGGATATTTGAATCACGTCCATCGCGGCTCTCACAATATTCCCTCGGTTCTAGTATTTATTTCAAACAATGTTATGAAAAATATATTTTAAACATTTGAGTGAGTGAGTGTGGTTTTACGCCGCTTTTAGCAATATTCCAGCAATATCACGGCGCCGGACGCCAGAAATGGGTTTCACACATTGTACCCATTTTGGGAATCGAACCCGGGCCTTCGGCGTGACGAGAGGATGCTTTAACCAGTAGGCTACCCCACCGCCCTTTTAAATATTGACCCAAAGCTATGACATCCTAATTAACCCACCCACTCGCCAATCGACCCATAGCATGCTTCCAGGGGCTTGTGCTATTTAAAGTCATTTAATATAAGAAGAATGACGATCGCTCGTAGCCAACCTATTGAGCTAGCATAGATACGGTATTTCTCAAACGGAAAGGTATAAAATTGACGACAATTTATGGGTCACACACAGAAGATCTGACAAAATTATTCTACACTTACATAAAATGAGTTTGTATACATTAAGTCAACATCAAAATGCCTTTTTGTTCGATTGATTAGCTTGTTTAACAATGCATGCTGAAAAAAGACTCAACATAAAGACACTTTTCAGAAAAGGATTTTTATTGCTGACACGGTCTTCAGACTAAAAGGGAAACTGCTTAATCACTACATTGATAAAAGCCATCACTTGCAAAGCCTTCTGTAATGTCATACTCTTGAAGGACGTCCTCTCGAGCTATTATCTCGAGGTTCAGATCCTTCCACATGGGAAGTCAATAAATAAATGTTCATATTTTATTTATATATCATGCATACTTTATCACTTTCGTCTTAGCTACTGTAAATAATCAAGATGAAAATATCGGTCGGATGTGTGTCCTCTTTGATTGCAAATTTACCTAGAAATGTTCAATCAAAGTTATCATTAAATCCTTCGACTAATTGAGTTCTTTGGTGCGCAAGGGCATGTACTGAAAGTGAGTCTTTATAGTGAGGTTAGTAAAAAATCCTTTTGGCAATCAGTTGTTTTTCACTTCAATAAATGGATTTAATCTTCCACTTGATAATGGTTTTATTGGATTGTATATCAGTCGCAGCCTGTGTAGTGTAAGGGTGGCCGGTTATGACTGATACTGGATCTCATTAAACTGTCAATCCTGTGATTGACTGTTTCATTGATTGATTGACTATATTATATTCATTGACGTTTAGATTGGGTACAGGTGACGTATACCTACACGTTGTTGTGATAGACTCATTCAATGATACATATGAGTGAGTGAGTTTAGTTTTACGCCGCTTTTAGCAATATTCCAGCAATATCACGGCGGGCGACACCAGAAATCGGCTTCACACATAGTGAGGTGAGGTGAGGTGAAATTGGGTTTAACGTCGTGCTTGAGAATATTTCGCTCATATGACGACGTGCATGCGTGTGTATGTGTATGTGCGGCTGCTTGTACTAGCCCAGACTGAAGCTGGTTTTATAGTGCTAGACCACTGAGATACCACGCCGCAGTGAAGCATGAATACCCCACTCAGACACATTATACTGACTCCGAGCCGACCAGTCCTTGTTGTACCCATTAATGCCGAGCGCCAGGCAGGGACCAACAAGTACCATATTTTAACGTCTTTTGGTATGACGCGGTCGGGGATCGAACCCGCGACCTTCCGCTCTCCGGGCGGAAGCTCTAACCACTACACCTCGGAGGCGGTCTGCACACATAGTACCCATGTAGGGTGATTCGTATGACTCCGGTGAAAAATGTATACATTGAAATACAAATACCTAATCTCATCATGACGTGTAAGATTAAAGTGAGTTTATGTTCGGGTTTAACTTCGTGTTTTTGTTTTTCATTGCAATCACAGTTGACCAAACCTCAACTGGATCCAGGCCTGCGGACTTTTTAAGGTTAATTAGATGCTGATAACCTACAAACATAATCAGCGTTAACAGGTTTTCGAAACCATGGTAACAGGATCCTGGCACGGCAAGGGACGCAAGTATACACAGCGAATTGCAAAGCCTCAAACGACAGTGCCTGTGAGCTCCTTCTACCATCAAAGTAGATATTTTCCATATTAAAGGTCGAAGATCCTTAGATATTTTCAGCTTGAATACAAAGAGCTCAAGCCTTTTATGATAAATGCCTATTTCTATTTGAAAATAAGTTCTGAGGCTTGCATCATGTACCATCAATGAAACGTTTCATCACATTTGTGAAAATAAACGCAATTTACAAAGAGCATGGTTTTATTAAAGGAGTTTGATTTTGTTTGATTTCTTACGCACAGTTTATGCTTCAAATTGTCTGGATGACGGATTTCATGTCTACTGAGTGTCTATTTCAAAGTCAATAAACATCCGATTCTGCGATCGTGTCACGCACGGCTATATACCGTGACATGATACATCCAGTCAATATTCAAGGTTAAAAACGTGGCATGCATTCATACTGGTGCGTTAGTAAATACTATGAGTATAGCAATTTGAACAAGCTCATGTTGAAGCCATAAAAACACTAAAGCTACTTCCATGTCAAAAATGATTTTTGTCATCTACGGCTTGAATTCAATGAATGGAGTGAATACCATGAATGCCTTGGATACCGTGAATACCATGAATGGCGTGAATACCTTGCATACAATTGATACAGTGAATACCATAAATACCATGGATACCATTGACTCAATATACAGAAGCAGAACGATTCGCTGTGATTTTACAGCATTGAGTCACAATATACATAGAAATTAAATATTTGTGCATTTTATTTACCGTGTACCCGAGGTAGGCTTCGCATTTCAGGTCACTTGTTTGGTCAGTTAGGGACATTCACATGCGTCTAACGTATACTACTACTGGGCTACGAATATTAACCCGTGAAGGTCAGGGTTAGAATT